AGCTTATAATTAGATATACTGGGGATATTTCAAGGTTTTGTTGTTATTGTGGGGTTTGGGAAGGTTTCTTTTTCTTTTTTAGTTATTATATCCATTTAATCCTCTGAACAACCATATTGCTATTCCTATTTTTACCAGTTAAAAAAACATCAAGAGGTCAAATAACTTGCCTCTCTATTCACCAGGTAAACCACATTGAATGTCTCTTACAAGTCCAGCTTGCATAACCAGCTGTGGTCCAAAGCAGGCAGGAGAGCCCCGAGGCCTCTTAGAGTGCCTTTGTGCCCACGCTCACTGTTACATACCTCTCAAGACCAAGTGAGGCTGAGTGTTTTACTTAGACTTGAAAAGAGGGTTAAGGCCGGGGAGATGTCTCAGTGGGTAAAGTCACCAGCTGCCAAGCCTGATGCCTAGACCCACATGGTAGAGGCAGAGACTAGAGTTCTACTTGTCCTTTGACCTCTAAATGAGCATGGTGGTACACACACTGTCCCAGATAAACAAGTAAATGTAGAATGATATTGTTTTTAAAGAAAACATGTTTGAACTAGTGATTTTAAAGTGTGAAAATGTAAGCACAGAGAGAAGGGATTTGGGAATCTCAGCTTAATTAAGTACTAAGAGAAAGCCCCCAACATTTATGGAGAGTTCATGTGTGCTGGGTGCTGCTATGGCCCTCGTTAGGGAGAAAACTGCGAGACTCTAGTCAAACTAAACGACTTACATTTCAAGTTACTTTGTTGGGTAGGAAGTGGTGTGTCTGAGATGTGAGCTCATGTAATTTATCACAAGTGCGTCAGTTCTGAGCCTTGCACCTGGGGCCTAGTGCATGCTAAGCAAGTGTCCAGCCACAGAGTCACACCCCATGTCTATCCCATGTGCTCTTGAATGTCACACTGATTGCATGAAAACTGTTGGGGTATGCGGAGGTTCTGGGTAGATGATCTTCTGGCTTCTGGATGGTGGGGAAGCATGTTGACCTTTCTTATTGCTCAATTCTCCTCCTCCTCTTTCTTCCCCTTTCTTTCTTCTCCTTTTCTTGTTTTGTTTGTTTGTTTGTTTTGTTTTGTTTTTTCAATCAGGCTCTCACTATGTGGTCCTGGCTGTTCTGTAACTCTCTATGTAGATCAGGCTGGCCTCAGACTCACAGAGATCCATCTGCCTCTGACTCCCAAGTGTGGGATTATAGATGGGCACCACTATGCCCAGCCTGCCTGATTCTATTGAGATCTGATAAATCTAGCATTGAGAAGGCAGGAATTACAACTTAACTAATGAAATCATCAGGACAATCCAAATACCCTGGAAAAAAATTTTGTGTGTGATACTTTTATTTGGTATATGTTATATAGTATTGGTATATGTTAACACTTTTGGGGGGGAGGGTTTCATGAGAACCTGGGTTCAGTCTCTAGCACTGCAAAAACAAGAAGCAACCCAAAGGAAAACAGTTTTGTTTGGTTTTTGGTTTTTTGAGACAGGGTTTCTCCGTATTGTTTTAGAGTCTGTCTTGGAACTAGCTCTTTAGACCAGGAACTCATAGAGATCCACCTGCCTCTGCCTCCTGAGTGCTGGGATTGAAGGCGTGAGCCACCAACGCCCAGCTATGTTAACACTTTTTCAAAAGTAAATATGTGTTCTTTGTTTTTTCATTTGAATTTTTTATTTTTTATAATTTCATGCATGAGTGCTGTATTTATATAGCCTCCATTCCTTTCTCTCCCCCTTCCTATTCCTCCTGTGGCCCTCCCTACTCTCTTTTATAACAGTAAATGTCTACTGAAAGCCATGGATAAAGCAGAGGAGTTGGCTCACAGCTATAATCCTTGCATTTGGAAGGCGGGGGGGGGGGGCAGGAAGATTGCTGTAAATCTAAGGCTGGTCTGGGATCCTGTTTGAGGCCTCTCTCACAAATACAAAAACAAGGAACCAGTAGACAGAAACCCCTGTCGGCATATAGGGCCCCTCTTGACTTTCTTTCACCTTTCATGTGTGCTCACTTGTCCCAACGTGTCCGTATCTATTTTCATTACTGCCACCAGAGACAGGTTCTTACTCCAGTTGTCCCAAGTAATCTAGCCTTCACTTCCTAGATCCCACATAGGCTTATTTATTCTGGCAGAAAACTTTGTAAGAGTTCCTGAGGCTACTCTCTATCTGCTAGACTCTATCTGCTATAGGAAGTATATACATGCTTTCTCTCCACTGGGAAATAGTGAACATTACAAGAGACATGCAGAAGGTAGGTTTCTAAGTGAAAATTCCTGGAACTTGACTAACAGCATTTCATGCCAAAGAAAGAGCTGGGACAAATCTGTGGGGGTATAAAGAAGCCAGGGAACCCAGGGGAGAGCGGGCAATCCTGGCACCTGGCAAAGAACACTGCACGGGGAGGAGTTGCATGGGCTCTGAGGCTGCAGATGCACACAGAGACCTTTGGTATTTTCCTGGGTCATCTGCTGGGCACAGCACTCTGTAGCAAGCTAGGGATCAAATGGAGATGGCGTCAGAGCTGTTCTTCACCAACATGCCATTTTCTCCAGGCAGGAGGATTCCACGAAGCATTTCAACTTTTCATCTTCTGATGGGGAGAGGAGGAAAGAGGCCGAGCATCGCTATCGTGTGAGAAGCTAGAGGATACTGTCGTCGGTCTCAGCTCAGGGCGGGAAAGGCTGGAGATCTCTGGGTAAGAAATAAATGGGGGCGTCCTGGTGACCATGCTAACATCAGGTCTCCATTTCCTGCAGGTGAATAACTTGAGTCAGCGGAAGCTGGCCGTCAGCGTTAACTTCTGGGCCCCCATCTTACTGAATGGTGTGACTGTGTGGGAGGTGGCAGTTCAGACCTCAGCACAGGTACCAGCCTGAAGTTTCTCCCTCTCCAGAATCCCTTTCTGTAACAACACCACGCCTTTATCAGGAACCCCGCCCCCCCCCAGGGTGTCTCCTGTACGTCCCAGAGGAATCCTCCTCAGCATTCTGACTTTCTGACCCAGATTCAAAGGCATTCTGTGCTGGTGAGAAAAGCCCATGCATGGGGGGGGGGGGAGCATGACCCAGGAATATGCTGATATATCCTGGTGAATCAGAGTTGTGTAGTCACCTGTGGTGTTATACCCTCTGTCCATATTGGACAGCCTTTAGTTCCTCTGTCTTCCCTACGTAAAGACCTGCAGATTTTTTTCCCTCCTGGCCCCAGGACTGCTCCATTGCTGACTGTCTGCACTTCCGCTGTGACATCCCCTCCTTGGGCATCCAGGACGAGCTTGACTTCATCCTGAAGGGCAACCTCAGCTTCAGCTGGGTCAGTCAGGTGCGTGGCCAGTAGCAGAGGTCCTCCCATGGCCCCTGGTCCCGTGGGTCTGGAGCATCCTTGGGTCAGGGCAGTTCTTGAACCCTGAGCTCCTCCCAGGTCCAACTCTCAGCCCTCTCTTTTGCAGACTTTGCAGAAAAAGGTGGTGGTCATGAGTGTGGCAGAGATCACATTCAACACTTCTGTGTATTCCCAGCTGCCGGGGCAGGAGGCATTTCTGAGAGCTCAGGTAGTGACTGTGTGGCAGGCTGTGGCCAGGCTGGTGAGAGGGCTGCTGATGCTCAGTGTGCAGTGCTGGCTGGGGGGGGGGTGCCAGCCTGGGGGGAGGATGAATGGAGGTCATTAGACACTTAGTGCACAAGTGTTTCTGTAGCTCAGTGCTTGGAATAGGGCATTGGCCAGGAAGGAGGAGTGTTAGAGGCTGGGAGCCTGGTGTGCATCTGTGTGTGTGTGTGTGTGTGTGTGTGTGTGTGTGTGTGAGAGAGAGAGAGAGAGAGAGAGAGAGAGAGAGAGAGAGAGCAAAAGAGCACACACTCTGCTGTTCACATCAGGTAGAGACAGTGCTGGAAGAGTATGAAGTCTTTGAGCCCATCTCCCTCATAGTGGGCAGCTCAGTGGGAGGTCTGCTGGTGCTGGCTCTCATCTCAGTTGCTCTGTACAAGGTGAGTTGTCATTTTTTAATCATTTTCCTAACACTCTCGGTGTTTACCAACAGCTCTGTCTTGCACAAGATAGGGTAGTGAAAACTCGGATCATGGTTGTGGGCAGGCTTGGGAACATGTCCCGTCTCTGTCACTTACACTTTAATTTGGGGAAGCTGCTTCTTGTTTTGGAGCCTCTTTTTGCTTCTTGTTTTGGAAATAACAGTAAGACTTATATCGCAGATTGGCTGAAGTGACACAGAAATACCATGTTATACATGCAAATCTACATGATGGTAAAGCTGTGCCTTTCTCCTGCAGTTATGTATCTAACAGCTGCTTGGCACACAATCTATCTCAGTACGTGATGGCTGTTCACATGCGTATTCTGGCACACAGCTAGAAGTTAATTTAGCTCTCCGTCTTCAACTTCTTCTCAACTTTCTTCCCTACCCTCTTACCCAGTTTTTCTGACTTTACCACATTTCATAGTTTGGCTTCTTCAAACGTCGGTACAAACAAATGTTGGATGACAAGCCTGCGGCTCCTGCCACAGCCTATGAGGCCGATTTCAGCGGTGAGACTCCATACCTGCTTCTGTCCTAGAAATCTGTTCTTCTGTGAATCTCCACCAGGAGGAGTTGGCCCTGTTTCTGCCTATGAATCCACTGGCATGGGAACAAACTCTCTCCAGCTCAGGACCAGCCCGGGCAACTTCCTGGGTTCAATGCCATGCTTCCTGAGCTGGGAGATTTTATGCTTTTGCCCATGTATTAGACTTCTGTGCTGAGCTGGGAGTAAGAGCATGCATGAGGTCAGCAAACATTTCCAATTGGATAAGAATTACCTCGCAACACAGATTGAGGAGAATATGCTCAACATACAATGTATTGCTTGGATGAAATGTTTTTTAAATAAAATGAAAATGCCAGGGGAAATGTCCATTTTCCTTGTATGGAAGCTCTTGAACCGAGATACCAACTGCCCTTTTGGAGTCTGCCCAGCCCCCCCCCACTGCTGTGCTGCTCCCAGAGAGCCAGAGACACAAAAGTTCCACACCTTTATTGCACTTGGAACTGCCCACTGGAATTTTGGGGGCTCTCATAGCTGGTACACAGAAGATCAGTTTGGAGGCCATGGAAGATTTTAAGGGGTCTCATAGCCGGTGGGCAAAGGATTGACGTGAGGATTGTGGAAAAGTGTGTGGTTGCCATCCCCCCAGGAGAAGGGCTGCGGAGAGAAAGGCAGACAGATCACCATGATCACTAAACCGTCCCCTGGGATTGCCCCCATCAGCCCTCCCGCCCCCCGCCCCTGCTCAGCCTCTGGCATACCTTGGTGCGGATGCGCAGGTGGTGGTAAGGGATGAACTCTGGGCGCTCCCGGTGGCCAGCATGCATCCAGCAGTTGAGGGAGCAGAGGGCCACACTGGGAAGAGCTAGCACAAACGTCAGGATGCGCCAGGTGTTGGCTGGGGGAAGCAAAGAAAGAAGCTATCACTGGGCCCAGAGGCCTGAAAGATCAGTGCGGGTGGATCAGCGGAGGGGCGCCAGGAGAGGGAGGGGAAGGGAGACAAGAGAGCAGATGGACTAGGCTACCGAGTCAGACTCAGGCCTAGCCCCACTTACCCCCGGCCCCTCCATGGTCTCCTTTGGCTGCACTGGCCAAGCCCCGACTCAAGACCCTAAGAGGCAGAGCCATTGCAGAGGAGAAGCTGAGGACGGCACTACCCTTTTCTCTCCTTCATTCAACCTAGAGGATCTCCTCCCCTCTCTGAGCCAATCACCTGTTGAGCTGGAACACAGAGGCCTATTTTTAGAGGCTTTCTCTATCTAAAGCAGGGCTTGACAAGCAGGAGATCCTCTCCAGCCTGCTGACTCAATGCGCCTTTCATTTTGGCAAGAGACCTTTTAAAGTGATACAAACCCAGTATCCCAGCCCTTGAGCTGTGCAGGCAGGAGGATCAGAGTTCAAGGCTACCTTTGTCTACTTCGTGAGTCTGAGCACAGCTTAGGCTACCTAAGACCCTGTCTTTGCAAACAAAATAAAAGGTGGGTAGTGGTAGTGCTCACTTTTAATCTCAGCACTAAGGGTCAAGGAGGCAGAGCAGGCAGATCTTTGAGTTTGAGGCCAGCCTGGTCTACAGAGCAAGTTTCAGGACAGCCAGAGCTACACAGAGAAACCTTGTCTTGAAAAACAAAAGGAAGGAAGGAAGGAAGGAAGGAAGGAAGGAAGGAAGGAAGGAAGGAAGGAAGGAAGGAAACAAACAGCAAAGGGGTGGCGGGAGCTCGAGGAGAATATAGTTGAGCTGGTAGAACACCTGGATTGTCAGCCTGTCTAGTACCCATAATCTGTCATCAGTGCTACATGAGCCCAGTGTAGTGGCACATATCTTTAATGCTAGCACTTGGGATATGGAGGCAGGAGGATCAGGAGTTCAAGGCCATCCTGGACTGCGTACCAAGGTTAAAGCTAGCCTGGGCTACACTAGATGCTCTAAATGAAACAATAAAAATATACCATTTATTTTCATAATGGTGGGGAATTATTTTACTTAATTACTTAATTACTCTGTGTCTAGCACAGAGTAGGCGCGGAATATGTATAACATTAATGAAGTGTTCATCCGTGTGGGGAATTCAGTCCTAGGACTGTGTGCATGCTAATCAAATGCTCTTCCTGAAAGGGCGCCAGCCAGCTCAAAAATGGCAAGCATGGCTGTGGCAGGCCTTGTCCTTCCTCCATCCCCTCTGCCGTGGTAAAAACCCTTAGGTTACATTTCGAAAGTGAGTCACCGAGGTATATTCTCTGGCCTGGGGCTAGACTATTGAAATCCAGCAGTCAAAAGCCCCCTTTGGTTCACCTAATTACATTCCCAATTAAAAACACCTCATCCAAACATGGGCTTTCCCCTTGTGCCTTTATGAACTGCCATTTTCCCATGCACTACGTGTCTCCTTTCTATTCAGAGGCAGTCCTTTGTCTCCCCTCTCCCTCGTCCCCTCCCTCATCCTCTTCTCCTTTCTTTCTCTTAGTCCCTGCCCTCTGCCCCTCTGGGGCAGATAAATATGTGCTGACCCATACTTCACTTCACTGAGCCCAGTCCGTGATTTTAAAGCTTCATTTTACTTTGTATTATTAGTGTGTGTGCACACGGCATCCATCGCACTGTGTAGAGTTCAGAGGACAGACGACTTGTGAGGTTTGCCCTCTCTTTATGACTTTAGTTGGATTCTGGGAACCAGCACAGGATACCAGGCTTGTATGGTGAGCACCTTAGCCCACTGATCCATCTGAGACAGAGGGGGAGAAAAGATGGAAAGAGCTAGAAGTGGAGAATGACAGCAAGGAAACATCATCTTCAAGCACCGCAGCAAAGCTGTATCCTCAAGCACTCAATCTGTAGGCTAGGCTGGAATCGTGACCTCTGCATTAGTTTCCTACAAGTGTGAATTCTGACAGGATGCCTCCGGCTTGGAGCAAACTTTGATGTGTCTAATCTGAACTCAACTTATAAAAGTGAGTAAGGCCCCTTTTTCAGAAAGGGCTCTACACCCACATCTCTTTCTTACTTTAAACTAGGGCTGGTGAGAGACTGCAGGTAAGGTAGGAGAGCCTCCCTGCACATCAAGCTCCCCTCTCCCACAAATAAACACAGAATTAAGTATAGTAGAAATGGAATAGTTTCCACCTACAGAGGTTCCTCCTTCAGTTTGTCTTCCTTGGTGATTCCTCACTGAACTATAATGAATTCTTCCGAGAGTCACTTTTATCCTGTTAGAGTTTAGGGCTGCTGTGGAGATGGAAGTTTAAATTTACCTGTCATCTCCCCGTATGAAGTTCCCTCTAACGCTCTCCCTATTTTGTACCACTATGGCTGCTGTAGAAAACAGAAAGAGGGACATTTTACTTACAAGAGTCTATGCCCCCTTCCCTCCTAAGTAGCCACTCAGATATGCTGAGAATTCCCATCCCTGCTATCTAGGCCTGGGGACTTCAAGAGCTTTATGCTTGCTGTCTCTTGGTGAACGCTGCAAAGGTCACTACTATCCTCTGCCGCCATCATGTGGTGCACCTGTCCAAGTACCTTAAAAATTTTAACTTGTGTGCTGTGTGGATTTTTGTGCTGCTTGGTTGGTTATACTAGGCAAATCCACACCCCCAGCCCACCTTTTATTTCTTTTTCTTGTTTGGTGTTTTGTTTTTGGCTTTTCGAGACAGGGTTTCTCTGTGTTGCTTTGGAGACCAGGCTGGATTTGAACTCACAAAGATCTGCCTGCCTCTGCCTCCTGAGTGTTGGGATTAAAGGCATGCGCCACCAATGCCTGTCTTTCTCGGTTGGTTTTTTGAAACAAGCTCTTACTGAATACCCGTCTGGCATGGAACTGAAGTCCTTGGTGCTGTATTTCTAGAGGTGAGATACTTGCTTCCATATCCAACTGGGTTTTATCTTAACTGCTTCTCTGTGGAAACTGTAGCATCTGCACCCACCACTGTCTATGAGCTCTCCCTTGTGCCATTAAGAGTCCCATTCCCAGAAGTCTAGTTTGTTCTTCACTTCAGGCAGAGAACAAAATAAACTCACCAAAGGCTATGCACCACCATGCAGCATCCCTACCACTTGCTAGATACTTGCCAAGTGGTGGTAGTGAGGTTCGTGGAGTGACAGCTCAGGTCAGTCTTTCCTATGTAACACTACATGTTAGCACAAGCTTTGTCAGTTCCTACCAAAGTCATCATGTCACCAGGGAAATCAGACTCAGAAGAAAGGGTGGACGTGGTGCAGATGGGACCGGTTCCATTTAATTTTTAGAGAACATCTATCAATAAGGACAGGTGGGATGTATAGCCAGGCATAAATCATTAATACAGGTAGATAATTTCCCCAGAATATCTGTCATTCACAGGTACAGCAGGGTTAACATAATCTTTCATGCTAGACTCACCCCTTGGAGGCATGGTGGCTAGACCTGTAGGAAACATTAATGTCTACAGTACTTTGAGTCCAAGGGGAACAGAAAGCACTGTGATCACTGCCTCCGAATGTCCCTGTTGAATTCTTCAAGATTCTGCCACGCACAGACCCATTGTCTTCTGGGTTTGTCACAGGAGCAGGGCTGTGGAGGTCTTCCAAGTCCTGCCATGCATTGACCAACCAGCTTCTGGTTGAGGGGGAGGGGAGCTGGTAAGTCTGTCTTTGTCATTGGATGGTGACCTGGAGGGGCTGGTCTGGGTGGGCATTTGCAGTGCAGGTCTACTCTTCCTCATCTGGGATTCTGTTTTTACCCAGGCATGGTGGATCCACAGGAAGACACTTGCAAATTAGTGCTTTGATGGGTGTTCCCTGTCAACCTGTTGTGCTGGCTGGTGCTGTAGCAAAGCATCTGCATTGCATTTATTTGAAACTGCCCTGGGGACTCCTTATAAAGTCAGCTATTGACCTCTCATCACCAGGATGATTTTTGCTAAGAAGAAAACTGAATGCCAAGTTAAAGGATGTGCCAATTAGCATGCAGGCCCCATACCAGCTGGGCAGTCGCTTAGGTACAGGGTTGCTAGATCATTTTCTTCAATTATATACGTCTGTTATTAATTTACATAGTAACCATTCCAGAAACCCTTAAAGTGATTTCCATTTTCATTATATTCAAAAGCTGAAAGGTGGCTTTATTCCTTTATAGCATTTGTTTTCCCCCAAAGTTGGCAGTTTCTTTTATTTTGGAATCCTCATTTCTAAAGTGAGATTTCCTGAAATGCCAACATCTGACCTTATCTTTTATATCAAGCAAGCTCATCTTCATCATAAAGGATATAATTCAGGAGAGAGGGTCAGATTGGCTTTCATAAGTAGACATTCATAACAATGAAGCTGTGTCATTACCATAACTATTGTTGTGCCTGGGTTTTCCCAAATGGTAAAGTGTAACCAAGTTTAGCGAAGACATAAGGGATTATACACACACTGTATGTTTTTACTATCATGAATAGATTGTTATAACCCTAGAACATGAATAAACTCTAGTCAGTAAACACAAGTCCCATTCCTCATAAATTTGTATATTACTTACATAATTACTTATCTATCCAGACCTTTTGTGACTTGGCTTTATGTTTTCATGGTTTTTGTCCTTTGTTATATTTTCACTTTTAGGACAAAGCTTATATATTGTATCCATATATGATTCATTTTTATCTAAAATATTTTAATTATTTTTATTGAAGATTTAACCTTATAGTTACAGCCTTTGAAAACATTTTAATTTTTTTATTTGTTGTAACTCTTAAGTAAACTTTTTTCTTCTTGCAATTTTATATCCTTTTAATTTTTTCCCTGTCTTCTAGAGATGTATTTTGAATGTGGAACATTTTTTTATAAGTAAGAACTGTCAGTGGGCGGTGGTGACACACACCTTTAATCCCAGCACTAGGGAAGCAGAGGCAGGTGGATCTCTGTGAGTTTGAGGCCAGGCTGGCCTACAAAGTAAGTTCCAGGATAGCCAGGGTGGTTACACAAAGAAACTCTGTCTTGGAAAAAAATAAAATAAAATAAAAAATAATAAGAACTATCAGGAAAAAGTACTTAGAGTTAAAGATCTTTACAGATTGTGTTAGGTTCTCTAGAGAAACAGCAGGTAGAATGAATACATATATTAGAGTGGCTTACAGGTTATGGTCCAACTATTCCAATAATGGCTGTCTTCAGATGGAGAGACCAAGAATACAATAGTGGTTCAGT